TTCTTCTTTACTGTTTGATCTGACAATAACCCTTCTTTACTTGATTAACCAAATGTATTACCAGCAAGACAATCAAACCAAAAAAATTTCAAGAAGAAGCTAAAACATGAACATGACGGAAGGAAAGGTGAATTGATTTGATTGAATGAAAAAGCTGTGAGGGACAATCAACGTTTTAGTCGCTGGTACGTCATTTCTCTTGACGCTTATGATTTGAAATGATCCAGAGCTGAACATTGACAAGAACATCTTATAATCGACTTTAATGCTGTTTTATTTGGTTAATTTCTTTCAGTCACTTCTTTCTCTTAACAACATTGGCCTGATTCTCCTTATCATAAAGAAGGAGGACCTGTTTTCTTATTAGGTGTTCAAACCCATTCAACTCACTCCGAGTCGATCAGAATCAGGAATTGTACATTATCCTTTTGACTTTCACCATATGGCAAACAATGTCCCCACAAAAATCCCGATCTTTTTTTTAATTATTTTGTAGATTGGGTGTGTAAAGGCACTTATGTTCTGAGAACTTCACCAATCATCATCATCATCATTCATTCATACAAATCTCTACTCAAACCAATTCCAAATGATTCATCAATTATTATGGAAGTCAAAAGACCAAATCAATCTTCAATGATTTGAGCAGAAGAAGAATAGAAGCAATACATACAAGTTGAATCAAATACATTGAAGATTAAAGTAGAAGCAGAAGATAATAAAAGTGGCAAAATCGAGCAAAGAGTCATGGTGATCAAGATCATGATGATGATGAAGTCGTGGAAGAAGACACTGTTTGATCAAGTTCAATAACCCTATAGCATCACCAAACCAGCAACATCTACATTTAATAAAAATAATAACATCTCAACTACTTATGTTTCAACAACAATCGAAACTGTGGATCCTCATTCATTCATCTTGATCCTGCCTCATTGATGAGTTCAACTCCAAACAAAGATGTCATTGGACCAAGTAATTCAAGACGCAATCACCGATAGAGCTGTGGAACTCTTTGTTAGTATCTTTCTCTTTCTCGTTATTGGACCAGAGTCTTGGATTGGGATTGTATGAACTGAGAGCTTGGTTTTTGGATAATCAGTTGGTATCCAATATGTGTCCAATTTGTGAATCTAATGCATATCTAAATCCTAATTTTAGATATGGGTACCATTGTAAGACTATCTTATTCTCAATCTTCTGTTATCAAATTGGGCTGACTTTTGATTTTGATGCAGCCACCATGTTAAGAAATCCTGGAAACTTGTGATTCAGGTACTGAGAGTTTTATAGGTTCCTTTTGTTTAACTTATGCTGGTGGTGCTTCAATACATCTTCAAACTAAGATTCAGGTTTTTTTATTGTTTCTATCATCAAAAATCTTGAATCTGAATCAACAAAACTAATCTTCAACTTTTTTGGTTGTTTATCTCCTAGGCAAATCAATTATGAAAAAAATGAGCTAATTCACCTGATACGGCTTCAAGTCATTCCATTTTATGCGCATCAACACCTTCAATAGTACCATTAATTCAAAATTATCAACTTTAAAACTTAGAGCGATTATGGTTTTAGTGACTTCAAGATTAGAAGGAATCATTAGTCTTGCTTTCCACCACCATCAACCCAATACTTAAAATTCACTAAAACAAATTCAAATCTACATAGCTAAAAGAATTGTACCAAAACTAAATCGATCATCCAAAAACTTCAATCCAAAATTACAAAAACAATTAATTGAAGAAAATTGTCAAGATTTAAAAGAAGAAGTGAATGAAGGGATTCATTTCAAGACATTAATTGAACCACCTAATCTGGATTTTATTGAAGAAAGAGGTGGGTTTACTTGTTTTGGTGATTGGGAAACTTGGCCTGGTAAATCTTCTAGAGCTATGTTGGAAGGTATGCCAAAGTTATATGAAGGGAATATGGGTAATTTTGAATATTTCTTTATATATCAATCAAATTTTTAATGATTTTGATTATAGAAACTTCAAACAGACAAGCTGACGTTTTTGAATGATTTGATTTTTTGTAGAACGTAAAGAAGCATTACAAGCGCTATTAAATACATTAATTTATTCATACTTGAAACTTTTAAACCAATTATCAAACCAAGGACCTCCAACACTTTGAAACCAAAGTCAAACCAATCAAGTTTCCAAAATCGATCAAATCATCTCTCATATCAAATTAACTCCATTTAATATGCATGGATTATGTAATGAAATTAGACCTAGGCAAACAATTGAACCTTTGAAATTGATGCTAAAAGAACAAGCTAAGGAGAAAAGAGGAAAAGCTCAATTGGTTTTACAGTAAGTGTTTTTTCATCTCTTTACGGTGTTTCTCTGGGATTCTGACTTTTTTTGGGGGTTTCTTTTTAGGACTTGTGAACATCTGAAGAATGATTTAATTGGTTTGAAAAAGAATAATTTAGGGGGTTTTGAAGACTCAATTAAACCAATTAAATCCAATTCAAATTTATATTATGGTAAAGAAAATGATGATAATAAAAACTTATGGAAAGAAAAAGAAAATGATTGGAATGCATTGTTATCTGCTGTGAATGATACATGAAAAAAACAAGTCATTCAATATTTTTCGTTGTTACCCTTTTTTTACACAGAGTTTTTTTAACAACTGTAGTTTTTATTTTTTATGAAAGGTTTTCTTCAGGATATCATATACTTTTTTGTGTTCCTTTTTTAGTTTTAGTTTCAGTTTTGGTGAGGCTGATCAAAAAAATCCATGCAACTGTTTTTGATATGGATCAAAAATGCAAAATAGTATGAGGATATACCTTTTATGTTGTTATTGCTTTTTAAGATAGATTATTACTTTTTAAGATAGATGCAGATGGATGCAAAGGAAATGTGTTGTATTTTGATCAAGGAGAAATTAAATACCCATGAAATACAGTTATATTATTATCTGTAATCATAGAAAAATCTTTGTATAAAAGACCTCCTCGTGGGAATGAGTCATTCATGGCAAATTGGAACCAAGGGGTATTGCAAAATCTGAAGATTATGCAGTGAATTTTTCACAATCAGAAGGTAAAAATATTGAGCATGTTGGATGGCTCTTATTGAAGTTACAACACACGTTCAAATGCTCATGACCTGCTTCCAAATCATCACTTGAAGATGAAAGATATTGTTTGATGGCATTTCAGTGCTATGGATAATCATCCAGAAGCTCCAGATCTAAACCTATAAATGATTTGTTAATGAACCTGCTTGATGTGCTCAGCAACAACTGACATTGATTACATCAATGGATAAGTACTTCATATGGATATTTGTGAACAAGAACTCAATGAAGCTTCAAGTCTTGTGATTCAAACAACTTGAGCAATTCATTATTGACATAAACATCAAGACCTCTTTACTAAAACACAAAATTCCCAAAATATGGATGATGAAAAGGTATCAAGCATCTAACTTCACATGTTTCATAGTTCAGCTTCATTTTTCATTCCAAACAATTTAGGTAGTCACAACTCAACTCTCCATTGATAGTCATTCATCTTTAACTGGACCTCACTATCAAGCTGGCTTTTCTTCTGTCTTTTTTCCCATAGAGCCTTGATACTCACTTCAAATATTTATTCATTCTTTATAGGGTTTTAAATTGATGTTACCTGGATTTTATTTGATTGCATTTGTGCCAGGACCTAGAAAAACCAATGGATCATCATTTCAAGCTATCACATGGCTCAATATATTAAACATTCCATGTTTTAAATCACACAAAAACATTATCAAATCATATGACAAATTGCAAGAACAAATTCAAAAATGTACGGACCAAGAATCCAAAACAATCAGGCCAATAAATCATATGGAATCAATAGACTCTGGACTTGCTCCTGTACAATCAAATGTTATTCAACACGGAAATCTACAATTTCTCATATCCAGCCTATAAATTCAGTTGAATAACTCTTTGGATTTGATTCAATAATGACATGATTCTTGTTAGTATGCTGTGTAATGAAGAAGCAGAAGAGATAAAGTTGTCTCATAATACACAACACATTAGTAATTCATGTATAATCCATATCATCACAATCCACATTCATGTAAGACTAATGAACTCAAATTATGTAAAGTGAATGAGCCATTCACATATTGGCCCAGTAGTTTTCTTAGAAGCTCCTGACCATAAGATGCAATTGAGAATATTTTATTAAAAGGAGTCAAGATAAGAGTCGGTTATCAATTGATTTATCATCATGTCAAGAAGGTAGATTTCTCACATACTACTCTTTTCCTTTTCTTCCATCTTTGTATTGATCTCTTCTTTGTGTTTTTCAAAAGTCTTGAATGAGCTCATAGGTTGACTCCAATGATTGTCCTTAACATTCATACAAGGACATTTATTTGATTATCATTGTTATCCAAGCCTCTTCTTTTTGAAGTTCAATAGGTCATGTTTTACTTTTGATCCTGGAATTCTTACTGAATTTAATAAAATGATACACAATATTGTTTTCGACAGTTGCCTTCAGTAAAAAAACCCGTACCCATCTAAACATGATATGTATTACTACATATGTGAATTATAAATTTCCTTCTTTTATATTTCTTATACCTTTTGCTTTCTACATTAACCGTTGTTTGCTATCATCAAACTTTGTCCAATCAGATCCTTTTGATCAATCCACCTGGGTCATTTACACCTTGATGAGAACTGAAAGCTCAACTGATTGGAGTGGGTATGTAGTGACATTAGGAAAATGAGAGCTGATGCTACAGTATTGCAATACTGAGAAAACCATTGCAAGATAGCTATGAAACACAAAATGACTATCATACATATTAACCGAGAACCATCAATTCAAACAAAACTGGACAAAACCTCCACTTGCTGCTTGAAAAATTGTGAGTTTTGAGCAGCCAAGGTTTTGGACTTCCGACAGGCTGTTGCTCGTCTTCTCATCATCTCAATTGAATGGGAATCAATGTTTCATTCAACTGGAACTTTTCAAAAACAATTGGGTACTCCTTCATACAACATGCGATAAACACTCAAATTATCCAAATCGGCTCATAACACTTTCAGTTCCTGTCAAACAAGCAAACATGCCATTCAATGAAATCTCAATATCTCCAATTCTTCATTAGTCTGGTTAGTAAGCTATAACTTTTTTCTTTGTTTTTCTTCATAATAAGTGATCAAACGGCAAATTTTTCATCCATCACAAATGATTTTATCTTTTACTGACTTGCTCTCTTGTTTATACTAGGAAATTAGAATTGTGGTAAGCTTTTCCCTCATAACATTATACGCAATTCAACATCTTTAATATAGCTTATTCTACTGTTATGTAGACTTGGTCAAACGAAGTGGAATCATGAATTCAATAATTACACCCATCACCGCGTCCAAATCAGACCGTCTCGACGTCGAGACGGTCAAAAGGCCACCAATTATCAGAATTTTGTCGGAACTTTGTCACTCGACATATGCCTTAGCAATTGCTCAGGACTGTTTGATCCTGAAGCTCTCAAACTGAGGCTTGCTTGATCCTTAGGGCCTCAGTTGCAGAATCACTCTGAGCTGACATCCTTGAATTCTAGCGTTCAACCTGTTCATCCACTTCTGTTCAACTTGAAGTTTGTGTCGGAAAACCACCGGTGCGGAAAACGACTCTCTTTTGCTCAGACGTGATGTCGATTATATCCTTTATTCTTTCACTTCGGATTGTTCGCGGTTGGTGTTCTATCAAAGGATACGACTATTGTACATCCGTAAACCAATACAAAGAATTACACCCTTTTAATAAAGGATCGCGCTATCCCGACCCCCCCGTTTACTTAAGCACCTGGCATGAGATTTTGTCAACGCCTGACAGTTGCAGAGTACCTCCTGATCCGACTCACTCAAACTTCACCGATATCTACATGTTTCCTCTCTTCGACCTTTGACATGTCTATCACTCTGTTTCTAAGAATGTTGCTTTTCTTATCAGTTTACACAAGATTGACTAAGGTGAGGTTCATGGAATCTCAAAGTCGCGACGAGCTGCATATGTGTTCAATTCCTATTCTTATACTTTTACTGTTGAAAAAACCATCCAGACTTTATCTTTTTTCATTATTTTGGTTGTCGACAATTTCTTGTTCTTTTTCTGCTTCTCTATTTGTTTTCTTCAATAACTTGTAACAACCCATATCTATCGACAGTTTCCACTTAGACTTTCATATTGTAATATCTTTCAAATCATTCACATACATAATCAAAGAACTTTGAAGCGAAACCATTGTCTTTTGTGAGCTTTGTTTTAAGTTTCCTTCCATTTCCAAGGCCATTGGGTGAAGCTTTTGGTTTATTTCTTGAACAAATATGATTATACAAATAACAACAAAGAGTCTATATGAGAAAAAGTCATTAGCTGATTATGAGATTGAACGCCTCAAATAATAGAATGGCCATCATTCGAAGCGCAGAACAACAGAACAATAGTTATCGACTTGAGGTGACTTACGCATGACGGTCCAGGTCCTTTTTGTTGCTTGGTCAGAAGAATGAGGGACTGGATTTTGATATTCGATGACTATGTATTCGCCACCGGAGGTATTTATAAGTATGAAATCCTCTTCGGGTTGCTCATCACCGGTGTATCTTAAAAACGATTTGGTGGATTTCTCTTGTTCAAACTTATCTTGACAAGAACATCAAACTTAGCATCACACTTTAAATCAGAAAGTTGACTCCCAAAAGATTCGAGGGATGTGATCAAAATGTTATTCCAACAAGCTGATCCATTCTTTTTACTCCTCATCTTCGTCTTTAGACCGTATGTGACACCAGTACTATTCTCAAGACAAATGAAGACCCTAGCGAGTATTCTGACTTCTTGATGTAAAAATACAACTGCCAACGGCGTCTGTGAGTCCATACCTGAAGAGGTTGAATGGAAGTAGCAAAATTCTCTAAATAGATGGGTTATAAAAACTCAGCCTTTCTAGCATTTAAACTGAAAAAGAAAAGAAAAAGGGAGAAACAAGTTTCAAGAAACAACTAGGACAAGGATATGAATAAATTTGAAAGAAAAAAGTAATGTACATGTAGTCAACAGCAAAAAAAACGGAAAATAAACTCAGACTTTCTAGCATTTAAACTGAAGAAGAAAAGAAAAAGGGAGAAACAAGTTTCAAGACACAACTAGGACAAGGATATGAATAAACTTGAAAGAAAAAAAGTAATGTACATGTAGTCAACAACAAAAAAAATCGGAAAAATAAAAAAATCGGAAAAGTTGTGAGATGTTTACTTTGATTTAGGAACTTGATCATATAAACTATCGAAATCTTCATAACATAATCAATGAAAACACTTCCCCTAGATAATAAAGATTACAAAATTAAATAAGCAGGGCAGGTCTTGTGGAAGGTGAATTGATACAAGAGAGACAAAGTCGTAGGTAAAACCTAAATATTCCCTGCATTCCCGCGGATGTTCCTGCTGAAAAATCGACCGAATTAGAATTTGAGGTAGATGTCTAAGCGTTGAAGAGGATACTTCGTCTCATGA